ACCCCCCCCCCCCCATGCAGCAAGTGAGGCATGGCAAAGAGCCTTTTTGACTTGCAGAAGGAGGAAATCTGGGAGACTTAAAACGTGACGGCTCGTCTGACTTCCAGCATGTGAAAGGAACGTTCTAAGTCATTCGTTAGCAATGGAAAGAAGAACACACAGTGATCCAAATCCTATGAGATATTTACCTATGTGTAAGAGGAATTGTAGAGGCTGCTGAAGCTAAATGCACTTGTCAGATGTTTTCCAGGTGCATGATCAAATGCATATAGAATATAGGCATGTGACTGATATGCAAATAGCACATCATCAGTTTACTGCAGCAATTCCAACTCTCGTGTGTGTGTGTGTGTGTGTGTGTGTGTGTGTGTGTGTGTGTGTGTGTGTGTGTGTGTGTGTGTGTGTGTGTGTGAGAGAGAGAGAGAGAGAGAGAGAAAACACCCATATTCTGGCAAGTGATTATTTGTTATTATTATACAAAACTTACATATTGTTCTTCATTACAAATCCCAAGACAGTCAACAAATAAAATATGAAACTGGATACCATAAAAACTTTACTCAAACATTTCAGTAATGAATACATACAAAAATACTGTTCAAGAAACAAAATATTAAAAAGTATTCTCACAAGGACTCAACGGCATGGGTGAAGAGATGCACCTCAAACCAACAAAATGAGTTACTAAAGATATCTAATGGATATGTACAGACAGCTCATAATTAAGAGTGTCAGGTCGATAATCAACAAATACTTGGGCTCTGGGCTGTTTTAGGGCCTTATAAGGCAACATCAATAGCTTGGAGTAGGCTCAGAGGTAGAAAGGAAGGAAATGAAGATTGTGGAAAGTTGTTGTTATATGGCCCCATATTTGCATGCTGTTCAATAACTGAGGTGTTGTGAATCACCTGAAGCCTCTGAACCAACTCAATGGGCAGGCCCACATACAGCTTACTATGGTAGTACAAATGAAAAATTACTAAGGCACAGGTTATGATGACCAAGCTATTTCCATAGCTGACAATTCAAGAGAATTTGAAGGTAGACACTCCTAGCTGTTACAACAGTTGCTAATAGCCTCTCAAATATTTAGTCACATATACACTCCCAGAGTCAATAATAGTGGAAATAATGCCAGCAGTACTCTGTCTGGTCTGCTAAAATTATTTTGCATAAAATACTTGTCTAGAGTTGACTTACGGCAGTCCTGCTCATCAGAATCATCCTCACAGTCATTGTCTCCATCACAGACCCATGAACGACGGATACATTTGCCATTGTCGCAGTGAAAATCCAATGGGGAACAAGTGGGCAGCACTGGAATGCAAGAATTAGAGACATTAAGCTATTAGGGGAAGCCATTATGTTTCACTAATATGTATTGACTTTGCTGGTAGGTACAATTCTAAAAATCCTACCCATTTGCTCCAGAGGAACACCTCACAAATCTTCCCAAATTCCATTAATATCTAATTCCAAATTCCATTAATAACTAATCTGGTTCTTCCTAAACTCAGTTTTTACTTCCATGAAAACATAATTCTGTGATTCCCTTCAAATTACACTAAATTATGCTTAAAAGACAACAAATATAGATTCAACAATATTGCTGAAGAGATTACTGGAATGGAGCGGTAGAGTAGGCAGTTCTTTCTCAGAAATACATTTTGAGTTATTTCATGAGAGGAAACAGTCACTCTTAACATGCTGCTCATTGAAAGCTATGGTAGACTTAAGGACACACAATCTCTATCATTAGGAGCCCCATGGCTCTCTCATCAATACTTTACTTTTCTACCCATATGCACATAAGGGCAGCAACTGTGTTTCCCGAAAATAAGGCAGGGTCTTGTATTAATTTGTGCTCCAAAAAACACATTAGGGCTTCGTTTCAGGAGACTTTTTTTTTCATGTACAACAATCTGCATTTATTCAAATACAGTCATGTCATCTTCTTCTGGTTGCTGTACAGTGGTAGAGGGCAGAGTTTCACTTAACTGGGGCTTATTTTGGGGGCAGGGCTTATATCACGAGCATCCTGAAAACTCAAACTAGGACTTATTTTCAGGTTAGGGCTTATTTTTGGGGAAATGGTATATAAACAACAAGCACTCTTAAATTTGAAAATCTGCCACAGTATACAGATATTGCACCCATTTGATTCCCAATGCCAGTCAGTATTTTTACTTTCCTTACAACAGGAAATTTAATTCCACCTCTCCATTTTTTATTGTACCGTAACCTGCTTTCCAGTGCTAAGATTTTAGAAGTTTCTTAACAATTTCCCACAAACGCTCCCAAACAAATTGGTTACTGAATTTGATAAACTTGATATGCAAACTTGAACAACAAAAATGACAACAAGCATTATATCTAACTCACAGACAACACTCTCAAACCTCATAAAATGTTTGCAGTGACAAAAAGACTCTAAGAAGCATTTACTCTATTTCTGTCTTTTCTTCATAACAGCAAATTCATTTAATCATACACATATAAATTAAGATAGTCACCAATTTCTGAGAACACACTGAAAATATTTATTTTACTGACCTTCTAAGAAAAACACATTGCTACATTAGCTAGGAGCAAAAGTAGGCCCAACTGCCTGCCTGTAGAATGCACTTGTTTTTGAAAGAAAAAGCTGCATCCTGCATATATAGGTACTGTAAAGTAAAGGTAAAGGTTCCCCTTGAATATATAGGTAAAGTAAAGGTAAAGGTTCCCCTTGACAAATGCGCAATCCTGTCTGACTCTAGGGGGTGGTGCTCATCCCCGTTTCCATGCTGTAGAGCAAGACATTTTCCGTGATCACATGGCCAGGGCGACTAGACACGGAATGCTGTTACCTTCCCACCGTGGAGGTACCTATTTATCTACTTGCATTTGCATGCTTCCAACCTGCTAGGCTGGCGGGAGCTGGAACAAGTGACGGGAGCTCACTCCATCGTGTGGATTCAATCTTATGACTGCTGGTCTTCTGACCTTGCAACACAGAGACTTCTGCGGTTTAACCCACAGCGCCATCTCATCCCTCTATATAGGGTGAGCCAATTTTTCCAAGAACATGAGACAGAGAAGCAGAAGCAACCCCTTCTGGGCATGCACTTGCCCTCAACCCTTGTCTAGATATCAAGGGAGACCATATTCCCCTCAGCTTCTTCTAACTTTTTTTGTGGTGGTACAATGGGGCAAAGTTTTTGCATTTCTAGCACAATCTGTGAGTAAATAAGGTGATGAGGGGGAAAAACATGGAGATGCTCCTGTGCTTCAGACCACTAAAAGGAGAAACACCATTCCTTAAGTGAAAGAAAATGTCCAGATCCTATGTGGCAAAAGAGCAATAAGGGCAAATTTGTTGCTCTATAAACTGTAGATCTAGAAAGAATTCCAGGACACTAAAAGAAAGAGCTGTGAGATATATAACAAACAATGTGAGCTGTACTGTATCATATTGTGACAGATCTTGGAAAAGTTACCTTTTTTAGCTACTTTTTTTTACTTCTTCTAAATTTCCAGAAAGACTACAGTTTTTCTAATTGTGCAGTATGCACTCCTCCCCAAATCCCTTAGAAAATTGAGGCCGCCATCCATAAAGGATAGGATTCAAAAGGACGGCATAAATCAATCACACCCCACTCTCCTTCTCAGTGATGAAAGAAACTCTCAGCCTTACGAGGACTATGCTTTCAAGGGCTGCCAACTATGACTAGAAGGGAGTAGCACAGGATTTTGTTATTTGTATTTTTTGTTCCTGACAGGTGTGTTCTTGAAGAGAAAAACATTACTTCAACTATTTAAAAGAAGAAAAGAAAAAAGAAAAGAGAGTAAGAAAAAGGTAGTGATTGTGAAGCCTTTTCATCCCTGCCCAGTCAACTGATGCTATCTTCTAACTGTCATCAGCTAGGCTTCCACCCTACAACCAAACACAGGGAATGGAGGAGGGGGAAAATGCAGCAGTAATACAAGAGACAAGAGGAAAAGAAGTTCTCTTGCAGGCCAAGAATGACACGCCAGATGGTCCGCCTTTCACTGTCTCCCAAAAGCTTGTCACCTGGAATTGCTACCAATGGCTGCGAAATTCCACAACAATGGATATGTTGGGGCCTGCAACCCCAGGGCCCACAGCAACAGACTAATGAATTTAAAAATATGCATGAGCACAAGGAAGTGAATGTGTGCCTACTAGGTCACAGAAACCTTTCACCTTAGACTCAGTACATGAAGGTTGAGGATGAGGGCTTGCTAATGCACCCTTTCCCATTCCCTTTCTACAGGTTGTAGATAGAAAGAGGCTTAAATGTCTGGGCCTTTTCCATGTAGAAGCAATATGACAAATTTCTACTGGTTTGTATAATGAGGATCAAGAAGCATTTTTGCCCTCTCATATGAAACTAGAACTGGGAGTTGCCCAATAAAGTCTCTTGAGAAAAGCAGATTCATGACAGAAGTCATTAATATGTGACGCTTGGGAACAAAACCCAGGGTGTGGTGGGTCTGTGACATTGGGAATAATTGAACTACTGTACTATTCAAAACAGAATGCTCTGTTTCCCAAACAAAGTTGGAAAAATTAATTCTTGGACTTAACCCCCCTAAATTCTACAGTCAGCTACCATTTGAAGCTCTAGATGAGACAGATCTTTCAACAGATTTGGTGGGCTCCACACTCATTCAAGCTTCTCTCACATGTTCCCCCCGTTTTGGCACCACTGGACTTGCCATTCCAGTGCATGATTGTGATCCATGCTAACTACCGGTACTGTATCTTTTTAAGGTTGTTAGAAAGAACGATACAAAAGCACAAGAAACTCAGTATCTAATCAGTCTTTGACAGAGACATGTTACTCTTTCCTACTATAAAAGAGCTTCCTGTCTCCTCCTTCTCCTCTCATTTTCTACCTTTTGAGAGTTCTGCTTCCTTTTCAGCCAGTATTGCCAATTTATTTATTTATTTTATTTTATTTTATTTATATGCCGCCCACACTACCCAAAGGTCTCTGGGCGGCTTACATTTAAAATACAATAAAATTACATTGCTGAGAACAGTACTGGGCCTATTTTTTTTCCATCTCCACAATGGGGCCACGTCTGCTCACCTTATGGAAATCATGTATTTGCCACAGGCAAGTGGGTTCATATTTAATGAGTCTGCTCTTATTTACACACACCACCCTTCCCTTGCTTCATTACACAAAAATAAAAATGACGATATGTATTATTAACAATTTTAAATATAATTTTGGGGCCTACTATTCTTTAGCATAGTTCTTTCACCAGTTTGCTCCTTTCTCCAAATCTGTCTTCAAAGTAATAATGATTCTGGAACTCGGTATAAATCTAATTTATTAGATTTACATTTTCTGTGCTAGTGTGCCATCTAGACCATAACACGCTTTGCAATTCTCTCAGTTTAGTGACGTTGTTTAAACTATTAAACTATGAATTTGAAGGCAGAGTACAATTCTAAATGGGTAGAAACACATGCACCTAAAAGTATGTATTTCATTGGCTAAAATACTGTTATGCTGTTACACAAAAGGCATAACTTTTACAGGTGAATTGTTGTAAATTAAGAACTCTCCATAGACATTATCTGTGGCAAATTGAATTGCATGACTCAGTGTGCAACAAATAACATCTATAGAGGTCCCTGTTACTCCTTTTGCATAACAGCACAACAGATTTCAGGCAATGCATATTTTTAAAACTATAAATTAACAAATTAACAGAATGAAACACGCACACAAAGAAAGTGAAATGAGATGGACAAAAAGAGACTCATAAACCTATCTTTTTAAGTATGTGTAAATACTCTTGGTCTTATAATTCACTTTCAAGCTTAATTCCATCCAGCTAACATCTGATGAAAAAGCAATAGCATCTTCCCTCAACTCCAAAACAGCTGAAGCTACATGGAATCGGGGTCCACACTCAGAGCCAGGAGGCTGGTAAATAAAGCATAATCCTGCTTGAGCCTTCAAGAGAAGGGAAATGGGCAACACAAGGCTTACTTAATTGGAACCAAGAAGCCAGGCAGTCTCATCCTTTTAGATGAGTCTTCTTGCAGGTATTATAAAAATGACCATAACTCCCTCTCAAAATTTAAAATGACACCAAATTATGAGGGATGTATTAGACATGTGGCATTTAAAAAACCCATAGCTGTATCATTCAACATTCCCTCTTTCAGCATCTCCTCCCATGCAGCCCTTAATGTGCTTTGCCTAGAACCAATTTAACCTTTGGTGAAAACAAGTTTGCTGCCCCTGATTGATATAGCCCCTCCCAAAACACAGAAATTACAGAAAGGTCTG